GATTCTTTCAAATATTACCTTCGAAATTCAAACTGCATCTATTTATCATATACTCTATGTAAATGCTTGGTACTTATTATTTTAAAGACCCTCTTTTTTATTCCTTTTCCCGGCAACAAATTATTTTATCGTCATTTTACGTCCCTTGTTATAAGCTGTAACCGCCAGCCCATTAAAAACACTTGTCCTGTATAAGTTATATATATATATATATATATTTTATACATATATATATATGTTATCGTTAAAATGTATAATTCGGTATAATTCGGGTTATTCATGAAATATCCACAAGTAATATATATATATATATTAATTCATGAGAGGGGAATAATTAAAGTATGAAATTGATATTTAAGCCATCACGCGAAAAAACAAGAAAATATTCGTCAGGCAACGCGTTTAGTGATTCGGAATGCTATATAAAAAGTGGACTTATAACAATAAGATTATGATATCCCTTCTAGTGAATAAATATTGCACCTTCTTTCTATCTATTCTTAGTGTGTAAGAAGTCTTGTAATAAATACATAACAAAATTCACAGAGAGATTTACACACTCAAGTGAAAATCAGTAGTCGAGGGTGAAACATCTAAGATTTAAAAATGTATTCTTTGTGTTTAAAAAAAAAAAAAAAAATCTATATGGGATGCTGTAATAACGAGTGATATATATATGTTAAAAATTTTCCCCAAATTTTTGGCAATGTCGAAAAAAAAAACGAAGGCGTTTATTAGTATAATAAACTAGTAATAATAAAGAACAAACTTATTATATCTTTTTTTTTGGGAATTTCAATTGTCAACAAAATCTTATTCTACAAGTTTTAAGCATACTATTACCGTTCGAAATAATGCTTCTTTAATAAGATTTAAATGCACATGCACATTATTTTACTCAAACAAGAGACGTCATTTAAACTGATCAAAGTTGAGAGAAAATGAATAATCACAAATTCGTGTATAGACTATTTTGAAATTTTCTATTTAAAATAATTTTCTTAAAAAAAAAAAAAAAAAAATTAAAAAAAAACATGTTTTTATATTTCTTTTAAAATGATTCAACACACAGAGACCTATTATATATTATATGAAATATCCTTTTATTACCTATTAATAATTTTTGGTAGGAAGTCAATATTAAGCATTACCCATGTACGGGTTACGAGGTATGTTCAAAACGTTTGTGGATAACGCAGCGATTTAAATGTTAAAGTCTATTTTTATTTTTCCAACAATTCTCATAATTATCTACTTCTTATTTGTTCCTATACTTTAAAAACCAATGTTCATTTAGTCGTGCTGTTCTACCGAATCTAATCTAAGGATCTAATTTCGATTTCATAATTTAACTAATCTGGTCTCTCGTGAATTCTTATACTACATAGCCGAAGTATGTAATTCTGAATTCTTTCATACTTTAACTAGTTAGAATAGTTATTTCATGATTTGGATGGTTATTTTACGAACTAACGGATTTCATGTTTTAACGGTAACATATATATGTATGTATATGTGTATGTATGTATTTTAATATAATATCCGAAGCACTTAGGTCGCAATTCGTTTTCTACCAATAATTAGCCCATAATTTACGTATACCCGTGTGTATATGTGTAATTGTAGTAAGCATATGTATGAAACGTCACTAATGTCAAAAGTTTTCGAGACTTTATTTAATGACGCACGTGCACACTCGAATCGTTTCTCCTTGTCCTTCTCTTTCTATTTCTATTCATCCGTCCCTTAACACACCAAGAAACTATTCTCGATTACCCTTCATCATCTTAAATTTTAATCCTTTTCCGAGTCATTAACAGCACTAACATTATTTATTCCAGACTACACCTGGCCTTTTCTTTATTATTTATCTATGCCTCTCTTTCTTTTTTATTCTATCGCCTATATGTATGCGTAATAAGGATTGATGTATATTATCTGTATGTGTACGTATGTGTGTGTGTGTGTGCGCACATGTGTAAATATACCTATTTTTATATCGTACATTACGTTAGCTTTCCCCGAAAACAATCAGTCGTCCTTTTCCTCGTTTCTTTCCTTATTTCTTTTTATTTATTTTTTTTATTTCTTGTAAAAAGCTTATGAATATATGTATTGTATATATATAGATATATATATTATATATATAGAAATACTGTCACCTACAATGTAATGAACACATTATGTTGCATCTTCTCCTTCCCTTTTGAAAAGGGAATCACGCTCTCTTCCATTTTTCAAATTTATCTACTATCGTTGTGTATAAATTGTCGGTTTGTTTTTCTGTGTGAATGTACCTATATGGGGTGTGTGGTATGTGTGTGTGCATAAGTCTGTACATTTTTGTGTGTTCACTATGTGTGTTTTTTTTACCGTGTTAATTCTTAATATCTAATACGATAAACATATTAATATTATATATTTTTCTCCCCTGAAAATCTTATAGGATTAGCACAATCGCTTATACCACCATGACTCGATAATTAGTAGTAAATAATAATCGTATTGATATAATTAGCGATAGCATGATGAACAAAATAATTAACTAAAAACCGATAATAATGATAATATTAATTAATGCATACCGCGAACTAATAATTGATGTCAATAGTTAATGTATCTTTCTTTACTTTCTCTCACACACTATTCTTTCTTTCTCTTTCACTCTCTTTCTCTCTCTCTCTCTCTCTCTCTATCTCTTTTTGCGACATTCACACTTAAGAATCTATTCTACATACGTATATATATAGGCATATATATTTTTATCTACGTACGATAGTATATATGGATATATATACTAACATATATATATTTATATATGAAAGTAATTTATGTTAATATACATGTATTTTTTGTTTAGAAATCTTTCTATGTATATTACACGTGTTATTTATATGTAATGTGTATATATATACAATGTATGTATATACATATATATATACATATATATGTTATATATATATATATATATATATATATATATACGTTAAAAAGCGTACTTTAATATTATTCGAAATATCTTTCTAATTGTAATAAATTTCCTTTTTCGCGTTATTTATGTACTTTACGAAGAAAAAAACAAAAATAAACGATAAAGAAGTAACTACAAAAATTTGTGAAAGAAATTCATTTCACATACGGATATATATCATCCCAACGGAATCAAAATCAAGATAATGATACTCATTTTGCGAACGGGACCAAGTGTAGAAAAAAAATCGTTTGATCCCGTTTCCATCTCCGATCCTGGTTACGACACCCATCAGTACATATACCTCGATCGTTATAACAATTAATTCCTAAAATTGCTAATATAGAATAACATAAACAAATAGGATCCAGTTAGTTCTCGTTTGGAATCTCCAATTTGTTGTTAACTTTATTGCACCCTTACAAAAAACATCGATCGAGATATATATTGTATATGTGTGTTTGTATCTATCAGTGTGTATGCATAAGACAATTATATTTATAAAAATGTCTTTATCCATCTTTCTTCCTTTTTTTTTCTGAACTTTTTTCAGAAGAGATGATATTGCATAAAAAAAAAAAAAAAATATAGAACAAGTGTAAAATAAGAAACGTATGATGTGTGGGTGGTGTTCCAGTAAAGATTTCGGATGGTCCATCGAGTGAAAAATAACAACTAAGATAAAAAAAGAAAAAAAAAAAAGAAAAAGAGTGAAAAAATTGAAAATCCGTCGAGATGATATGAATTAATTAAGTGCAGAAATCTAATTTTTATCTATGAAACGATATTTTACTTTGACCTTCCCTAATTCTCTTATACTTTTTCCTCTAAAAATAAATAACACATCTAAATCACACATCATCTTGAAAAAGTCATTGATAGAAGATCGATTTACTATTTGCGTTTATTTTTTTTTTTTTTGACTTTTCTTAATTGTCAAAGAGAACGAGGATAATGATTACGTGTTTAGCGTCTTGGATATGAGTGAAAATCTTTTTTTTATAGAACAATATGAATCTCCTATTATGAAGAGAATACAGACAAAGATTTATTTATTTGCAAAGATAAATAAATCAATGAAAAAAAAAAAAAAGTAATGATAATAATATATTCGAGATTTTATTTCGAACAACTTAAAGAGGATTAATAAAGTAGTATGAAAATTTCTTAACCGGATTGTCCCTTCCCATAAATAATCAAAATTCTCTAATATCAGCAGAATAAAAGCTAGAGCTGACTAAAATCGATTTGTATTCATATTTGTATACACTTAATAGATAAATTCGACGTATCACAACTCCAATTACGAGGAGTAAAGAAACGATGAAATTAAAAGGGAAGAAATTAACCGGTAAGAAACGTTTGACTAATAACAATCCTAATAAGTCTCCTCGTTCTCTTCGTACTCCTAAACTGTACGCTTTACCTACGTCGTTAAACTAGGGAAATTAAAACTAGTCGCATAAAGTGACGTTCATCAATATTGGCATTTTAAAATACACGCCTGTGTGCAAGACCGCATCGTAATGCACAAATATGTTCCCTTATCATCTTGATCATTAGACGAAAGATTTTATTCCTCTTCGCTTCTTCTTCTATTTTGTTTTTTCCTCTTTTTGTTTTTTGTTTTTGTTTTTTTGTTTGGGATCACGTTTTGGCGCACGTGTTAAAAAAATATTCGCGGACTTACCGAGAGGATGGCATACGTACCAACTGTTGTATTTATTAGTCCGGCGAATATAGTATAAAATTGTGGAGTCTGTGGGTGAGCAGAATGTTTTCAGAGAAAAAAGTTAACAAACGTAGCGCCTTTTTTAAAAATGAACAAGACACTCCCAACGAGGAACATCGAGATGCGGATCAATCGTATTCACGTACATCTTTATCTTTATCTTTCTTTTTCTTTCTCGCTCTCGCTCATGCTCACGTTCTCTCTCTTTCTCTCTTTCTCTCTCTCTATCTCTATCTATCTATCCTACTTATCTCTTTCTCACTTTTTCTACTCTATCTATCTACCTTTATGTCGATTTTTGTTTTCATAAGGAACGATACGCGAAGCAAAGTTATAAATAAAAAAGTACAAAATACGTCTAAATCATGTAAATTCTTGGATGTGCTTTGCCTATCGTTAACCTTCATCCATTACATTTCTCGTGTTTTCCTATCTATTTCGCGATTATTTTTTATAACTATTTTCCAAATAATAAAAATGAAGCGAAAACTTCTTGTGAAGACATCTTCTTCTGGATCTTTCGACGTTCGCATTTTTTCTTTTAATAAAAAGAAAAAAGATGTTTTCTCCATGTACTTTTGTTTCTCCACAAAAATTGCAGGCGCGTAGTCGTGGTGGTTTGTCATAAACCTTTACTAGTATCCAATCGTAGTATTCATTGTCAATTCATGACGATCTCCTTCCTCAATAAATAATCAGGAATAAATGAAAAAGTTTAACAAAAACTTTCATGTCGGGAAACTGAAAAATTCATCATAGTTGTCGTCCTCTTCTTCGTTCTAATCTTCATGTCTAACCGAATTGCATTTCTATGTTGATAAATGTTAACATGTAGTGACGAAAATGTAAATACATACATGTATATATGTATGTTTATATAGGCGAACTTGTAACATGGAAATTTGTAAGTGATTGGACACTTTTTCTTTTATTTTGCCATTTAATCTGCGTGATGAATCCTAACGAAATTAGATCTAAGGAATTTGAGACGGTTCATCAACATCTCTTGTTCATATCTTAACCTTTCTAACATTTTATTTTTAATTTTTAATTCACTGTTTAGATATTGAACGTATTGCTTAGCACTATTAAGAATCACCACTTTAGCAGCTCTTTCCTTGTTTTCAAGCGAAGGTACTGCACTACGAAGACCTTCAAAATAATCCTTAAGTTGGACTCGTCTCTGTCTTTCCATGTTATTATGTATATGTCGCTTGTCCTTATCTGCCTCATCGTCAGTCGAATTTTTCGAAAGAGCGCCATCTTTATTATTTTTCGTCATTCTTCCTCTAGTAGTGTTTCTCGTACATTTTCTTTTGTTATTTGTTGAAACAGCGTTCGATGTAGCTTTTCGTTTTCGTTTTGCACTCGTCGGTGGCCTGCCTCGTGGCTTCGGTGCATGAGTTGTCGTTACCACCATACTTTTCTTTTGTTTACAATTTGTTACCATCGTATTTTTCTTTTCTTTAGGGTTCGGTGATCGTTGTAAATATGAGTTGTAGTGATTCTTCTGCTTTTGTTCATCTTGACTAGGCTTCTCATACGTCTCTACGTCGACCTCTTCATCTTCATCTTCATCTTCATCTTCATCTTCATCTTCATCTTCTTCTTCTTCTTCTTCTTCTACTTCTTCTTCTTCTTCTTCTTCTTCAACTGCTTCTACTTCTACTTCTTCATCTTCTTCTGTAACAGAAAAGCAATAAGATAATTAGTATTATATATTCGTTATAAATCAATAACTTAAACTTTAAACGCAAAATTTCCAATAAAAGTCCACAAAAATTTTATCACGTATTTATTAAATATCCTATAAATATATCCTTCAAACATTAAAACATTTCAAGTAGTAGTTTTCTTTAAAAAAAAAAAAATTCTCCAAAATCATCTTTTTTTCAGACGGTCACCACTAGTTGTGTCCTTTAATTCTTTGTGGCTCGGTGGGATTAAAAGTGTCCCACACCTTTTTGATACACCATAATGCACGGTGTACGGGACATTTTTAGTTCCACCTCGAAATATTATTGCAATAGCTACACATGCTCATAAGTTTATATTTCGTCTTATCTACGCAAAGCAATTGGTTATTAACTATTTTTTTTATATTTTTACATTATTACATTATGTAATACCTTTATAAAAAATATACTAATTTTGTTTAATTTAAAACGTAATCAAATTTCTCTATGCAACATAGGGTTATTTTATTATCTGAAATTTTGTGCCGCAAAGAGTTAACCCTTTGCACTCCGCACGACTTTCAATGCTGGGTAGCAGCAACTCCGCGCGACTTCACGGCAGAAACGGCACATTTACAGACTCTCGTATTATTTAGTATAACTTTGGAACCAAGTAACGGATTCTAATGATATTGGACCTATATTAATCTGTAGACATCAAGGAACATATTTACCTACAGAACTTTTACCAAAAGAACTTATTTACCAAGAGAATTTATGCGTGTAATAGCGTTGCATTGAAAAAAAAAAGCGAGCGTGTTCCATTGTATTTGAAATGTGATGCTATTTAATAATATTTCTTTGTGCATTATAAATCTCACTATAAAATGCGAGATATGCTTCTATAAAAACCTTTCTTCTACAAATTCTTCTTATCGCTCTTCTCAAGTTTCGCCAAAAAGTTCTCGGACCGTCGTGAGCACCGTGTCTCGCATTCTCTTAGAACACAAAACCCGCTGACATTTTTTTTTATATATCTTTGTTATTTTACTATATTTTGATTCGATGTCTTGTGCTATTTTGAGAGAAAACATCAGGAAAACATGCATGTCTCAAAAAGTTGTGCTGAAATAACTCAATTCCCCGTAATCACTAATAAACTTTAATGTCTCATACGTTGAGACATCGGAGTGATAGACTAGAATCACGATGTCTCATAAATACGGTGAGGCAGCGGAGTGCAAAAGGGTTAATATTTTCAACGATCAAACAATTTTAATTTAGAAATAAAATGATATTAATTCGATTGAAATCTTTTGATGAATAAATAATTATTTGTTTAGCGCTCGATGAACGAAAAACTCTTTAAAGTGCGAAGCGATCGACTCAAAATACTTCGAAAAGTCATTATCACTGAACCGCAGTTCAGAGACCGCAGTCAAGCCCGTTAATTGACTGGCCAAGTCACTTCCCTCGACCCTTCTTGCGATCAAGGCGAAGGTCAGCTGCAAACAGCGGAAACGATCGTTTGACCGTTCGCTTTCCTTCTCTTATTCTTTCTCAACGAGAGAACTACTTGGCACAGCCAAAAATGAGACTTTGAGCAACGTCCGGGCCAGTACATGGCGCCTTAACACGTTAACTGCCGTGTCACCCGTATTCGGGTGACAGCAAAAGTTCTCATCAGGCCACGTCACCCGTATTCGGGTGACAGCAAGAGTTCTCATCAGGCCACGTCGGGTGACTCCTTCCAAAGGATTTCCGAACATATTTAGATAAATAT